AAAAATTTTTTTGGAGGATCTTTGGACTCTACCGGTATCTTACCATTTTCATCTCTCTGAAGAATCTGTTCCAAGCCTCCTGACTACCCCAAGTGGGATACCCTGTCGGGACTCTTGTCTCTTGGACCCCATATCTTCCTGTTTCTTGGTTTACTCCCTCGTTTTGGTGAAGCATATCCTAGAGGAGCCTTCTGAGAAAGGGGACAAGGGATGAGAGTTTTAAATAACCTGACATGCATGAATCTCTTGATTCCATCTTCATGCTTAATTGATGGGTACAGAATTTGGTTGAGTATAGAAATATGTTGGAAATTATCTTCCTTCAACATTTTGAGATTTGCTGTTTTCCATTGTTATCATCTATTCCTGTGTTTAAAATTAGCCCAAAATGTAGCAGATTGAAACAATAACAATAAACATGTCTTTTCTGTGGGTCAGGAATTTGGGAGTGACCTAGCTGGTTGGTTCGGTTTAGAGTCATTCATGAAGTTGCAGTAAAGCTGTCACTAGAGCTGGAGGGTCAGCTTCCAAGATGACTCAGTCACATGACTAGCAGATTACGCTGACAGATGTTAGGAGGCCTCAGTTCCTCCCCATGTGGACCTCTCCACAGGGACACTGAGTGTCCTCACACATGGCGGCTGGCTTCCCCCAGAGCGAGTGATCAGAGAGAGAGCCAGGTGGACGCTGCGATGTCTTGTATGCCTAGCCACACATTACACACCATCATTCCAGTCATGCCCTATCCATAAGCCCTACTCAGTGTGGGAGAGGACTACACATGAGGGCGTGAATACCCCAATATGGGACTCACTGGACGCTGACTTCTAGTTTCCAGTGTTATTTCGATAGCTCCAAAATCATTCTTTTCATGATCCTTTGTAAGTGATCTGCTCTGTTTTCGCTCTCCTCCCCTCTCTCTCTGTCTCTCAAAGTTTGTAGAACATAATTTTTCTCTCTGATGTTTTGCAAATATCAGGTGTAAAGTTCTATTTTCATCTGTTGTTCTGGGCACTTGGAGGACATTTTCAATCGGTAAACTCGCATTCTTTTCAGTTCTGGGAAATTTCCTTGCATTATTTTGTTTATAATTTCCTTTCCTCTGTTTTCTTTGTTGTCTTTTTCTAGAATTCCTGTTATTTAGTCTTTGACATACTGTATAGGACTTTACTGCTTTTTCATTTCTTTTTGACTCTATTTTTCTGGAAGTTTTCTTCAATCTTATCTTCCAAACATCTTGTTGAGTTTTTTGTTTCTGTCATATTTTTATTTCCCCAAGCTGTTTTTTGTTCTCTGAATGCTCTTGTTAAATAGCATACGGTTCTTGCTTCTTGTTCTAGCCTCTCTTTTTGCTTTGAAGATATTAATTATTGCTTCATTTTAGTTTTGGACATTTTCTTCTCACTGCTTCTTACTGTTTTGTTGTTGGTTGGTTGATTTTTTTGGTCTTTCTCCCTCACGTGTGAGGTTTTCCTCAGTAACCCTTGAATGTTCTGCTCATGTGTAAGACTGGGGACTAAAAAGCTAATTGGAAGCTCTGAGCGCATGATGGGGGCTTGTCAGCTGACTTTCACTGTGGGTGAGGCGGCTGAGCCATTTGCTTGTAGAACCTTAAGTCAGTGTCTTTAGGTCTTTCCTCCTGAACTCGTCAACACTTCCCAGGAAAAAGAGAGAAGTCTGGTGGCTGCCAGGTTCTAGGAGTTGAGTCGGAGGAAGGCTGGTCTGTCTGCTCAGTGCCCCTGTTTTCTGTCTGCCCCTCCCATGCTCAGCTGGGCCTGGGACTCTCCATATACTCCCTCCAAGAATAAGTCTCCACGTTTCTGCTGAGGTCGGGGGATGGGAAATAGGGATTGGCAAGATTCTTACATGCGTCCAGAAGGACCTGGTGCCACCAATTACTGATTCCACTGCCAACTTAGAGTTGCTTCCTGGAGAGCTGTTTCCACCTGTCCGTCTGTTTCCCCAGCTTCCTAAATGTTGATGCTGCCTCCTCTCCCACATTCCCCATCGTCGTGGGCTCGTGTTTTTAAGGCTTTTCTCTTCTCTCTTATCGTAGCGTTTCAGGAGGCAAAGGTAGGTGTGTGCCTCCCCCATCTCCGCCTAGAAGCCATCGCTGCCGAGGTCATTGTCACAGAGACCCTGGGCGACCTCCGAAGTCACACACGGCGGGGGAACCACAGAGGTTCAGGGTGAGGGACAGAGCCAGGATTTGTCCCCGGAGCTGGCTGTCATCCAGGTTCAGCCCCCTGGCTCCTGGAGCATCCTGTCCTGCCTGCCCGGAAGTCTGGGCAGGCAGGAGTCATGGGGTCTGTTCCCAGAATGCCAGGGGCAGGGCGGCTGGGGGCAGGGCCGGCCGTTGGACAAACAGATCAAAGGTGAGGCGCGCTGGGGCTCCAGACCGGGCCTGGCCGAGTGCACCATGAGGTGGGTGGAAGCCCCCAGGGTCTCCCCAGCGGGGGTGAGGGGTGAGACTGGGCCTCACCACCCCTCCCCTGCGCTGTCTTCAGGCTGCTTGTCACCCTGGGTCTGCTGTGGGGCTCGGCAGCCACCACGTCCTCGGGCCCGCAGTGGCCCAAGCCCGTGTTCGGGCGCCTGGCATCTCCTGGCTTCCCAGGCACGTATGCCAACAACCATGAGCAGCGCTGGGCCCTGACGGCGCCCCCCGGCTACCGCCTGCGCCTCTACTTCACTCACTTCCAGCTGGAGCCCTCCTACCTCTGCGAGTACGACTTCGTCAAGGTGCCGGCAGGGCGGGCTGGGGCACGGGGACCCCCGGGGGCGGGGGCTGGCCTCGGAGCGCGGGCGGGAGGGCCGGCAGGCCCGGGGCCTTGCCTTCGCCCCCGTGACCCGCAACCCCACAGCTGAGCGCCGGGACCACGGTGCTGGCCACGCTGTGCGGGTCAGAGAGCACGGACACGGAGCGGGCGCCCAGCAACGCCACCTTCTACTCGCCGGGCTCCAGCCTCGACGTCACCTTCCGCTCCGACTACTCCAACGAGAAGCCGTTCGCGGGCTTCGAGGCCTTCTACTCAGCAGAGGGTGAGCTGAGAGAAGGCCGGTTGGTGCGGGGGACTGTCTTGGGCCAGACCAGCCCTCCCTTCCGCCCGCCTCCCTGAGGCTGGACTCCTGCCAGACCAGCAGGAGGGCGTCCCCACCTGGTCTGACATCGTCATCACAGTGCAAATATCAGCAACAGCCAGGACCTCTGCTCTAGGCTGAGCCCCTTTTTGTGCCAGGTGCTGAGCCAGGACGTCCTCGCGGGCCCCGTGATGCGAGGACCAACTGAGCCCGTTCACAGGTGGAATCGGGTGCCACTGGCCTGAGCGCGTCATCTGCCTCTGGGCTTCGAGTCTGGCACTTGCTTTCAGATTCTGGCTCCTGCAGGGACTTGCTGTCGGCCTCGGGCAAGTGGCTCAACCTCTCTGTGCTCATCCTGAGACTGCTGCAAGAATTTGGTGAAACCCATTTAGAGGCCCACCCACTGGGTTCCCGTGCTGGTCGCTCCTTTCACTAGCCTAGTCACCACGAGCAGGCGCCGTCATTGGTTAAACCGTCAGTGGTTTAAAAAAGATGGTATTTAGGTCTCCCTCCAAGTGCTGCAGGGAGGTCGCAGTGACCCTGGGCCTCTAGCGCTCAGCTGGGCATGAGACACCTGCAGACAAGAGGAGGCTCCTCTCAGGTCAGGCCATGTTACTGGAGGGGCCCTAAACCTGAGCCTAGGCCTCAGCGATGTCCCATCTCCTTCCCCGCTGACTGCCTGCCGGCCCCTCCCCCAGACATCGACGAGTGCCAGGTGCCCCCAGGAGAGGCCCCCACCTGCGAGCACCACTGCCACAATCACCTGGGTGGCTTCTACTGCTCCTGCCGTATGGGCTATGTTCTCCACAGGAACAAGCACACTTGCTCAGGTGAGCTGCAGCTGGAGGGGGACCCTGTGCCCAGCCCGCCCCCACCCTGCCCCAAGACACAGCTGGCTTCTCAAGGCCATAGCTGCTCTGCCCAGGCGACTGGAGGGCCCACTGGCCTTGGTCCACTAGACACTTCTCCTGGGTGACGGCTCCTTTTCAGATCTTCTGTCCCCTCTCACCATCCATCCATCTACCCATCCATCCATCTACCCATCCATCCATCTACCCATCCATCCACCCACCCACCCACCCTCCCACCCATCCACCCACCCACTGCCCACCCATCCATCCACCTATCCATCCATCCATCCATCCATCCATCCATCCATCCATCCATCCACCCACCCATCCATCCATCCATCCACCCACCCACCCATCCCCCCATCCCCCCCACCCATCCCCCCATCCACCCACCCATCCATCCCTCCATCCACCCATCCACCCACCCATCCCCATCCATCCATCCATCCATCCATCTACCCACCCATCCACCTACCCATCCACCCACCCATCCCCCCATCCACCCACCCATCCCCATCCATCCACCCACCCATCCATCCACCCACCCACCCTCCCACCCATCCACCTACCCCACCATCCCCCCACCCACCATCCACCCATCCCCCCACCCATCCACCCACCCACCCTCCCACCCATCCACCTACCCC